CACTGTAGTAAAGGATTAAGCCTGCATGATGTAGAAGTGATGTATCCATATATGTATAATATAGACGAGAAGTTAAACATTAAACCACCAATGAGGTGAGCCGAAATTTCAATTTTTTTAATGTCATTTTTTTCATTCCAAATCAGGGGCGGATACAGGGGGGGGGCGGGGGACATTCGCCCCCCCCCCTGAATTTGGAATTTTTTTTCCTATTTTCGGAATAGCTTCTCAATAGCATGCATAAGGGAAAGAAACCCTAGTGCAAAACAGGAAAAATATCTGTCTTAATAAACTATAATGTTTGAAAAGTTAAAAATCTAGTTTTTTAGTCTTTAGTCATTAATTTTGACTCTTTTTGAGTCTTTTAAGTAAAAAAAAATTTCACCTGTGGAGCGATTTTTTGTTCCTAATTATGAATTTTTTTGTTCCTAAAAAACCTTGCCCCCCCTCACTTAAATCCTGTATCCGCCCTTTTCCAAATCTTGAGTTCAAAAGAGAAAAAGTAGTTTTATCTAAGTTTTGATTTTCGTTTTGTTTAATTTTTTAAATCTTTTAGTAAAACTTCCCAGATTTCAAAACTGTATTCTGATTAAGTTGGCTTTTATTAAACTTTGTTTTAATTTAAATGTTTGTATCTTTAAAAAGGGAAAACAATTCAAAAACGGTCTTTTGTGGTTCGTTTTTTCTCATTTTTTATCAGAACCTAATTCTCTACATTTGTATTTAGTTACTCTAAACTTGAACTGGTGCATACCACTGATCTTCAGAATGGGGATATAATATCGAACCAGCACGTACATTATCCAAATAACACATCAAGGATTAACTAATTCTCTATATGTGTATTTAGTTACTCTAAACTTGAACTGGTGCATACCACTGATCTTCAGAATGGGGATACTATATCGAACCAGCACGTACATTATCCAAATAACACATCAAGGATTAACTAATTCTCTATATGTGTATTTAGTTACTCTAAACTTGAACTGGTGCATACCACTGATCTACAGAATGGGGATATAATATCGAACCAGCACGTACATTATCAAATAACAAATCAAGGATTAACTAGCCACACAAATATTCAAGTTGAGGTGAGAAAATATTTCGGATTTAAAGAATTTGAGCCGCGGCTTAAATGTGGTTGGTTCCACTTAAAATTGTATCAAATGTTTCAAGATTTAAGCTGGCGCTCAATTTAAACCGGGTTTTGGCGGATTTAGGCCGCGCCTCAAATTCTTTAAATTCGGCCTCTGTTTACTTTTATAATACTATTTGTTCCGATTCCATGATTAAACTTAGCACTGTTGATCTTAATCATGTCAAATATTCAAGTTGAGGTGAGACAATATTTCGGTTTACTTTAATAATACTGTTTGTTCCGATTCCATGATTAAACTTAGCACTGTTGATCTTAATCATGTCAAATATTCAAGTTGAGGTGAGACAATATTTCGGTTTACTTCTATAATACTATTTGTTCCGATTCCATGATTAAACTTAGCACTGTTGATCTTAATCATGTCAAATCAAAACTCTAATTATCTGATTAATTAGAGTTATTAATTTTTAAATAAATGGCACTCATATTTGCATTTGCAAACTTAAATTAATATTGAAAAATTACTTAAAAACAGGATCTAAAGTAAGACCTGTACTTATTAAGGAAAGTGGTGTACAGGACACAGGGGTTCACGTACAGTACTGTGCAAAAGATGTTCATAATCTAATTTCTGTTCAAAAATACCAGAGCCGGCGATTTAAAAAATTCAAGAAAATACGACTCGGGTCTAAGCTGTTGTTGAGCCTTATTTACGGCTCGGGTTTTCGAATTTAAGTTTTAGGTACAGTACAAACTGTGACCGGAAAGGTTGACCCGGCTCGGAAATTCAAATGTACTACGACTGCCCGTGCCTCGTGAACTCGTAATTTCATAAATTTCCTGTTTTCCTGTATTTTCAAGTTAATGATAGAATTATAATGATACACTTTAATACAAGGGTATATATAAATGGAGATGTGCAGACTGTCCCTTTAAGAGTCATCAGAAGAACAAATATATTAGACATATAAGGTAATATGAAATAATGTAATTTGTTGTTAAAGGGAATGTAAGTGTAATTTCATGCAACCCTCCATGCAAAGATGGCAATACCCGATTCACAAGGGTACTTTTAAAAACATAAAAATATTGTTATAATTTTAAAAAACTGATTATTATCAATTGTGTTTTTTTACAAAAGTAACCTGCATTATTATTGATCAGATAAATGTTTAAAGAGAACTGTTGTGAATCAATGTATGAAAGGTCACTTGAAATTACTATAGTGTCTATAGAGAGAGACCGTCCCTTTCCGCTCGAATTCTGAACAAAAATCGGCTTTTTCTCCGGCCACAGTTGTCTTTGAAAAGAAAGACTATTACCAATCAACAGCGAATAGGCTGTTTAGTTTACCCTGAAATTACCCAAATAATTGGTGAACGGTCCCTTTAAATAATGCTCAACGCCGGAGTTTAATATTGGAATTGTTTGTTCAGAATCCATACTAAATCTGAACCGTTTCTTTGTCCCCTCTGTCAGCATAGATCGGCGAGGAAAGACTATTTGCAGAAACATATACAAAAGGTTGGTAATTCACGTGTCTTTGCCACAAGCTCAAATTTTCTAATCATCTATTGGTGTAAACCTTTGATATTTCAAATTATTTCATCAATTCATAGTTTTACCTATATAAGGTCTACGACATTGGGTTGCAAAGATATAGGTATTAGAACATTAGAGATTGTTGCAAAGACTCAATTTCTTTAAATTTGATTCAGATATAAGAATTAAGAAACAGGTAATATATCTATTAAGTTGTCAACTATTATTTTCTTGTGTTATCTATTATCTATACATATAAATAAAGCAGTAATCTCTGGGGTTTTTTTTTTCGATCATAACTCAGGAACTCCTTCACTAATTGGCCTCAAATTTTGATTAGGGAACTTATTAGAGCCACAATAATGTTCTTAGCTTGATAAAAAAAAGTTTTAATTTGCGTAGATTACCTTTTTATTGGAAAAACCTAGTTCCCAGGCAAAGCTAGTTTATTGTAGTCTTATTTCAGTTCAGTGTTGACAGTTCAAAATTAGATTAGGAATCTTGTTCATTAAAAGATTATTTTTTCACATTGATACATATATCCCCCTTATAAGGGTGGACTGCACGTATCATTATGATTATTAAGGTGCACTGTAGTAAAGGATTAAGCCTGCATGATGTAGAAGTGATGTATCCATATATGTATAATATAGACGAGAAGTTAAACATTAAACCACCAATGAGTTACTCTAAACTTGAACTGGTGCATACTACTGATCTACAGAATGGGGATATAATATCGAACCAGCACGTACATTATCAAATAACAAATCAAGGATTAACTAACCATACAAATATTCAAGTTGAGGAAAGTGGTGTACAGGACACAGGGGTTCACCTACAGTACTGTGCAAAAGATGTTCATAATCTAATTTCTGTTCAAAAATACCAGGAGAAAGAAATTAGGGGGCAGAATATACAAGATACTGACGAAGCACTGAATTTACAGAGATATGAACGTGGTGAAGATTATCACAGGTTTCCAGATCTTGACTCTACTAGCTAGTTAGATGGCAGATTTTTAGTTTTTTAGTTCGAAATATTATTCATAATTCACCCTACCAGCGGATCCTCATTCTTACCTTTGCTTTTTGCGTTTTTGCTTATCTTCACCAGATAGTTAGATAGCATATTTCTTCAATTAGATAGACATATATAGCTCTTTATACTCTTCATAGCCACTCCATAGCAACCATCATACTTCATTCTACCTGCTAGTTTGAAAGCAACCATCATACTGCATTCTTCCTCTACCAGCTAGTATGATAGCAACATTCATACTTTATTCCACCAGCTAGTTTGATAGCAACCATCATACTTCACTCTACCAGCTAGCTTGATAAAAACCATCATACTTTACTCTACCAGCTAGTTTGATAGCCACAATCATTCTTCACTCTACCAGCTAGTTTGATAGCAACATTCATACTTCACTCTACCAGCTAGTTTGATGGTAACATTCATACTTCACTCTACCAGCTAGTTTGATGGTAACATTCATACTTCACTCTACCTGCTAGTTTGATAGTAACATACATACTTTACTCTACCAGCTAGCTTGATAGTAACATACATACTTCACTCTACAAGCTAGCTTGATAGCAACATACATACTTCGCTCTACCAGCTAGCTTGATAGTAACATTCATACTTCACTCTACCAGCTAGCTTGATAGTATTATACATACTTCACTCTACCAGCTAGCTTTATAGCAATCATCATACTTCACTCTACCAGCTAGCTTGATAGTAACATTCATACTTCACTCTACCAGCTAGCTTGATAGCAACATACATACTTCACTCTACCAGCTAGCTTGATAGTAACATACTTCACTCCACCAGCTAGTTTGATGGTAACATTTATACTTCACTCTACCAGCTAGTTTGATGGTAACATTTATACTTCACTCCACCAGCTAGTTTGATGGTAACATTCATACTTTACTGTACCAGATAGTTTGAAAGAAACCATCATCCTTCACTCTACCAGCTTGTTTGATTGCAACCATCATACTTCACTCTTCCAGATAGCTTGATAACAATCTTCACACCTTCTACATGCCAGTTTAATAGCATACCTTCATTTTTCACTTTGATTAAGTTAAAACATGAAAATAAATATTTAACATTGAAATACCGAATATTTTTAACACTAACATGTTAGGTTTATTAAATGTTTCAGTTTGATGTTAATGACTTAAAAATGGCTGAGGTAAGAATTTTTAAAGGCGTTACCCACAAAAGATGAGACTGTAAAGACGACCTAGACTATCAAAATATGACTATTTCTAGGTTGAATTAAATCTTTTGCCTTAAAATACAGTCTTCTAAGGGCTGAGAAGTGAAACCTGTCTACAGTTGCAAACAGACCGTGTAAATTCCGTACAATCGTCTCTGAAGTCTCATCCTTTGTGGGTAACCCTGTATAATGCTCTATTTTTAAAGTTTACGGGATCATTTTTTGCAAATATTTTTGTGTGTATTTATTATTGCAAAACAAGAATTATTGCGAAGATACATCACAAGTATCCTGGTAGAGGTTAAAGGGTATCCAACACACATATAATCAACAATATTATGATTTTATGAAACTTTCAAAACATCTGCCTGAAACTTATGAAAACCGGAATCAAAAATCCGGTTTTATGAAAAGGAAAATATTATCTATTTATGTCATTGAAATGGGTATTATTAAGTGCGAAAAGGGTTTTGCAGGGATTTTTATTTTTTTCTAGTTTGTTCAAGATCAAAATGAAAGTATTTTCACACCGAACGTAGTGAAATGTGAAAATACTTTTATTTTGATCGAAAACAAACTAGAAAAATTAAAAAACACAGCAAAAACCTTTTCGCACGCATGATACCCATTTCAATAACATATAGTTTTATTCAGTTTTACTCAAATTATTTAAAAGCAGGTCGATAAAGATCTTAATCACTCTATTGTAGGGTGATTAAGCAACTTTATCACCCTACAATGAGACAAAGTAGGTATGAAATTTGAAATTTTAATAGCAGGGTGAAAAAGTTACTTTTTCGCCTGTTGTAGGGCGATAAAGTCACTTAATCACCCTACAACGGGAAATATTAGGTGTGATAAATTCCACCAAAATGGAATACAATATTTTAGATGTTTCATTATTTGTAAAATTATTTTCAGACTAGCAGGAAACCCAGCTTTGCGTGGAAACTAATCTTTCTTTATAAAACTCAACCCACTAACTTAGAATTCTAAACCAAGGTAAAAACATTGCCATGATTTACTAAGTTTCTCAATCAACGTTTGAGCCAAATCGGTTAAGGAGTTCCTGAGTTATGATCGATCAAACAGATATAACATCTTAATCTTCGTAATCTAATTATGCATTGAATACAATGCCCGGGTTTTATTTTATCCAAACACAGACATACGCCCCTTCGACTCCACAAACCTTGAATCACAACATCGGAAACTTATCATTTAAGTGAATTTTAATTGAAAATCAAAGTTTAACGGGTTAACACCCTAGCAACCCAAGATAAAGTAGTTATACATATAATTGATACAGGGTTACCCACAAAGGATGAAACGACCAGCTGTACAGATTATATTGTCTGTTTTCTTAAAGTAATGATTCCGTGCAACTGTAAACTTTTTTCTTTCTTAGCCAATTTATTAAATAAGCCATTTAAACATATTTTTTATGGGGCCTGACTTTAGTAACGGGGAAACAGGTTTTACCTTAAGATGGTTTAAGATGCTTTTTTTTAACTCGAGATAATTTTGTTTATTAAAGGCACTCATCCTCATTAAAAATTAAAATGCAAATACATCAAAATATTACGGATTTATTTGAATTGCATTTAAGTAGCCATCTTCAAATTCTTTGTAGGACTAGTTGATATTCTTGAAACCATGTGGGTTAAGAAAACAAATTTTGTATATAACTAAAACAAAATAACATTTTTTAAATTTCCTAATCTTTAATTTACCCCCTTCTCGTCAACTCTTTGTTTGTTTCTGTCCGGACGTAAGTATAAACCCACACCTTCACCCACTTCCCTTCACTTCTTGTGTCTGTACAATGCACAAGAAAGATAATCTCGTTTTAATCCTTGTTTCATAGATTTCTATAATCCTAAAATAACCTTGCAGTTCATTCTTCAACTTTCAGTTTCTTTCCATACCTTCCGCCCACCCCATTTACTTCATATTTATTTTACAAGGTTTTTCTTCAGTATCCGCGTAGGGAGGCTCAGCACCCGTTGTGCCTGACAACCCACTGGTAAACATAGATTTTTTTTTTTTTTTTTGGGGGGGGGGGTTGTGAGCTAAGCCCCAATTGCCCTTTCGGCCCTGAGTTCGCCTCTGGTACGGAGCACATAAAAAAGTTTCTCTCCAAAATGTAGGGAATGAGTAAAAGATTATAAAAATTGTAAGGATTTGAAGTATGTTACAGACAATAATTCAACAACTAATACGCGTCATTTCGATTGAAAACTTATCATCTGTATTCCGTGATAATTTAATTTTCGCTGATTTAATTCAGGATTAATTGTAAACAAAAAAATCAAAATGTCTTATAAATGATGAGCGCACACCGAGGACATCTGTGGTTTATTTTTGAAACTGAGATGTTTTGTATGGGATAGGTTTGGGTTCCTGGAGATACTTACAAATTTCGCGGATTTTCATTTTTAAGATATTCCTGAGAAAGGGAAAATATTAGAAGGATGACATTGTAATAATTATTTGTCTGTTCTGAACTTTAAATTGTTCTTTGAACAATGTTTTCTTTACGAAAAAAGTCGTCTTGCTACTGTCATGTATCGTGGGACAGCCTGTAAATTCAATATTGCATATTGACAAATTACGAAATAAATTTTGTAAACTGTGTTAAAAATGACTAATGACGACGTCAAAAGTCACAAATTCATAAACGATCATCATTGCACAAAATACATGTGACTACTGAAATGAATTTTTATTTTAATAAAAATGTTATAAGGATGACTGAAATACATTTATATTCTTATATAAAAAATGTTGGTATTTTTTCTTAATTGGCAAAGTAAAAGATAAAACTAATGATCCTCAATCATGAACATGCTTGAGTCAAGTGAGGGTGGGGCAAAACTCGGTTCGCCCCACCCCCTTAGTTGCGCCACTTTACAGTCTGTTATGAATAAATTATATAAGAGTTTAGACTACTAATGAGCATAATTTACTCTTAACTACAGTTGAGACAGCTGTTCAGATTAAATAATGAAGAAACCCTTGAAGTTTGAGGAAGGGGGGGGGCAACACAAGCTTTCCAGGGGGAGGGAGGGGTCTTGCAAGGGAGTATTAAAGTAGGTTAAGGGCAATTAGTTGGGTGAGGATTTGACTGAAGAGGTTATATAAACCGGGTGTCTGTTAAACTAAAGGAAGTATAAACTATATCATAATACATATATATGTATGTATATGCATACAGCTTAGGAGCCCAGAGTAGCAATGGTTAGTCCCGCCGTTTACCCGCGCTATGTCGTAATTATGATATTAGCTATTTTTACCAATACAAGTCGATCCACTCAACATAGAATCTCAAAACCAAGCGAAGAACATTCCCGTGATTTTTCCGAGTTCCCCAATCAAAATCTGAGGAAAATTGGTTCAGTTATGATCGGACAAACAAACAGTCAGATAGACAAACAGAGATTACAACTTTATATATAAAGATGATTGATAACACATTGAACAGCCTCTAAGACTCTGTCTTAATTTTTTCAAAATAATTTTCGTCTCTTTTGTAATATTTTGGAAGAAATATATGGTAAATGTATCCTGAAGATTATGTACCATGAACCATAATGTTAATAAAGTAAAAATTAAATTTTATTTATTTATACATAAAAATGCAAACTCATCCAAATCTAAAAATTGCAATCCAAGGTAAGAACATTCCACTGGTTCTGTACCGAGTTCCTTATCAAAATTTAAGGTTAATCGGTCATGGGGTTCCTGAGTTATGACCGGACATACAAACATATCGATATATATATAGGTCATAAAGCTATGAAAAAATATATTTGTTCAGGAATAAACTAAAATATGTCACAATGTTTTGAAATGTTGTTGAAAATTTAAATATATAAATAATAAACGCTTCTGTTTTCCCAACCTATATATATGTATATTATAGATATATAAAATATACCACCCTGTATTCCTGTAGACTAAAGACATTTGGAAAACTGGGTCAAAAACATCATTAGAAGTTTAGAACTCAGGCTTTCACTGAGATCTCTTCAAACCAGAGAATTTGGCGGGCGGCTGTGTCAGGGTTCAACTTAGATTTTTCAAATTTAGACATATTTCATACTTTCGCAGTTTTAGGTCTTTATGTAGGAATAAATCCATGAAAATAATCATTACAGATATTCAAAACAAACCTAATCTTGAACACTTTTTTATTTCTTAATTTTTGCCAAATTATGTTGCTTAAAATACATCTTTACAATAAAAGTTAATAATTTTGCAAGTTTTTTCTCTCCTTTAGTGTGCAGACAACTCACGAAATAAGTCAAATAAAAAATCGACTAAACCAATCTTATTTTGTAATAATCAATTATATATTATTTGTCTAAATTACCTTCACCAACAAATAATGTTTAAAACACATAATAGAGATGTACTCTCTACGCCTAAACAAATCTGTTTAAATTGATAATGTAGTTATTTAAGCCATATCATTATCCTAGAAGCATAAAACAGTCTAAAATTACATGTTTCCCAGCGCCAACGGGAATAAAATGATCATAATATAATTAGTACGCGGATATATTTACGCAAAGGCGCGTCAATCATAAAGGCGCGTTAAATGACGCATTGCATCTTTTGACGGAAGTTTGGGGAATGTTGAACACTTTGGAAATCCAGAAATGAACAGGATTCGATTAGTTCAGGGGCGTAGGAAAAATTGTTGGGGGTTTACAAAAAGCTTTTTCGGTCAAGGCCAACCATTACAGTTACATCAGAATTTTTATTTAACAATATTTTTAAAGGGTGACCAGTTTACCCCCCCCCCCCTGCCTCCTTGTGGCAAATTTTTCCCCCTGTCCGGAAACTATAACTGGAATGACCTTAACATTGTTTAAGGACCCATAAAAAAT